CATGAGATTTGGTGTGAAGCAAAGCGAGAGACCATATCGAATGGCGAGGGAAAAATTTAACAACATACTTAATTAATACATGCTTCACACGAGAAATTAAGCCCTTTGTATCTCTGTCTATTTAAGGGGGGACCTATGTCGTTCTACGTCGAAGCAGCGTTATGTGACGTCACAATAGCGACGTTTGTTTTTTTCCCGCTGACTTTTGCAACTGTGATTGTAGGCATAACATTGTAATTATTCAATAACGTACACAGTTTACAAAAAGAATTCTTTTTCATCATTTATTACAGTTTTATTTGATTTATGGAGTTTGTTAATATTAGAATTCTCTTCCTTTGGTGGATAATTCATAGCAATTTCAGTTGTAAAGAAATACCTCCATGATATGCTGATATAAAAGTGCAAAAAATATAAGATAAAATTCAACAACAAATCGGCTTAAATCAGAGAAATATGTTTAATTTTATGTTTACATTAACTGTATTTTCTGGATAAAACTAAAAAAAAAATTAAGAAATGTACTTGTACCTATATTTACTTATTGATTTATAGTATATGTAGATTTTATTGTATAAAGTCATTCCTTGGTTCTATTAGGTGTTGGTTGTTGACGAGGAAATGGGGGGGGGGGCAAAATGATTAGAATGAAGATGAAAAGAGTTTGTCTGTTTAAATTTTTTCTAATCAAAACAAAATACTTGTTTTTTTGCTAAATAGTTTTAAATTAAGATGTTTGTCAGTGCTTACTTACCTTTTTTAGTGCAGAAAGGTCAATATTTATGACAGAAGAGTACGAAAATAAAAGAAAACGTCATATTTCTCGTTTATTTTATCATAAAGGTATACTTTTTTCTTTGTTAAAATAAAGAGAGGAATCCTTTCTTTCAAAAAATATGAATTACAACATTTTCACACAAAGACTTTTTAAGATATTACCTGTTATGCATGTCGGAATTGTAAAAAATACGACAAGAAAAACAGGATGATACTTACATTGTGCTCCTTTATAATTTTTCATGCGAGATGAATTACAATGAATTTTCCTTCATTTTAAAGATACAAGTCATATAAATTAAATACCTGTTGATTTTGAATGTGATTTGACATTTTTGGTACTTTTTAGCGCATATTTGGAGTAGAACAATAATGTCTGAAAATGTCTATTTTTAGCATTTCACACTGTTTTTGCACGTGCTTTTGTGTAAAAATAAGCATATAAAGGTATTGTTTTTAATACCTAAAAATTAAGAGCAAGTGGTAAGGAAGGAAATGTCAAAGTTTTGAAAATTTTCACACAAAGACTTTTCGGACATAGGTCCCCCCTTAATTGCAAATCTTTGTGTGTTTCGTATTATTCAATCAAGATAACGATAGTTTGACCCTGACTGTTGCCATTTTGTACAGGCCCAGATGCGATAATTATACCCTCGGGGTAATATCTACCTGTCAGGTGACGGTCTACAGTGAGTAGTTTTCAGACACGATACAGGTTCATTTCCGTAAGACCGCGGAACATTAACTGGCAAAATTGGAAATATACAGCTTACGTCATTTCTATCTGTTACAATCAAAACATTCAGTGATAGACAATGAAATGGGCGGGTACAATTCGACGCGGACGTGGGGAAAACATCGGATTGAAATTGCAGATCGAAATCCACCTCAGCTACGCTAAAACGCACATTGTTACTGAATGACCCAGAAGACAAAAGAAGACAAATAATTTCAATTTTGTTACAGTTTGAATTTTTTGGTACAGTGTTTTAAATAAATTAATATCTAAGGGACAAATATTTCATTTCTGTTCTGTTTGGTAAATATATGATTGTATATCTTTGTGTTGGTGGCGGGGGGGGGGGGGGGCTGAACGATTTTTAAATAAAGTTGTCCAACAGTTTTCAGTGAGAATAAGTATAAAACTCTTGCACTCTTATAATCCTAGAAATAAAATATATTGTCATGTTAAGCTATGACCTGACTCGACAACCCCCCCCCCTTCTAGAATCAAATATCTCCTGAAAAATAATCTTTGTCTTCTTTGATCTTTCGCGTTCTTAAAATCATAAGCTAAAACTCATATTAATGTGAACTTGAAACAATATGTATTTGGGAGTTAAAATTAGTTGATTTTTGGATCATACATTCACTCTTTGCTTTGAAAACAGCTCAAGTGGATTGAAAATGAATTTCGATCTGCAATTTCAGTCCGATGTTTTCCCCACGTCCGCGTCGAATTGTACCCGCCCATTTCATTGTCTACCACTGAATGTTTTGATTGTAACAGATAGAAATGACGTAAGCTGTATATTTCCAATTTTGCCAGTTAATATTCCGCGGTCTAAGATTCAAAAACTTCTTAATGAGGATAGTCATGTCATTTGGATGGATTTTAGTCAGGAACATTTTATTTTTGTGGACATTATTACACATTTGTTTTAGGTGGTAAAATTGATAAATATATCTCCTTAAAGCAAAGAATTCCATAGAAAACGAAAAGCTGGAAAAGAAAGGTTTACGATTGGATATACATGTACACTACTTGAGCAATATAGGACAGTTCCAACGTATTTGAACTTCTTAAAAAAGATCATACTTAGACTCTTTGCTGTTTCCTGGCAATCAGTCCATTTCTGTTTAAAAAATTAAATAGTAAGTAAAATTTTATTGTTCTCACTTCTCAATGCAATAATTCTGATAAGAGTACCAGTGTAAATGGTAAATCCAAAATATTCAATCAATTAGTAGACATTTCTTAAATTTCTCTTTTACTTTTGATTTTAATTAATTTTTTTCATGTTTTAATTTTGGCTTCAGTTGAATAATTCAGGAAGAAAGACAGGGGAAGAGAAAGAAATCTTTCTTCCTGTACTAATTTATGTAACTAGTAGATTTTTTGACTATGTAGCAGATCAGGTCCATTGTTCATTGTAAGTATTACAAATCATTGGTAATGATTTGCTCAATAATTTATGCACACAATGGAAGATTCACTCAACCATGAAGCTTTGGCTTGTGGTGTACCAAGTGATTTGGTAGCAGCAAAAATCCTTTGTTCGAGGTGTAAAACATGTACTAAATTCATGTAGGAAGCGAAACAACTCTAACTGAAAAATTGAGCATTTCAAACCGAAAGTTAATTTTGTGACGATAGAGACTTTAAACACACCTGTTATGACGGAGATCAGAGAGGTATATTCTTTGTTTTATTTATAACAAGTATAATAAAAATAAGCTTATTAGGGTAGCATCTTAAAATATTTATTTTCAAAATCATACCTGGTGTCTGACCGATGCGTAGCCAATCTCAAGAAATATTTATAACTGATACCCTAAAAAAAATATTTTCAATACGGAAGTTAATTTTGTAATGTTAAAACTATGCAACAGGCTGATATGAAACAGGTAGGTAAAAGTGTTTGATCAATTCACAACAAATAAATTAAATTTTGTATATTTAGGGTAATATTTGAAAAATGTCTAGACTCGCTACTGACCGGATATCGCGGGCTAACAAAACATGTACAGGCACTGTTACAACGCACTTTGAAAAATTACGCACTTTGAAAAAAAATTTCAAAGTGCGTTAAAATTTGGGACCAAGCTAACGCACTTTGAAAAAAATAAATTTTTTTCAAAGTGCGTTAATATCGACCATATTAACGCACTTTGAGAAAAATGTAAAGATTGATCAATATTCCTTCAAATAATCGGTATGATAAATAACAGATCCTGGTTTGACAACTTTTTAATGATAAAGTCACTATGATAAATAACAGATCCTGGTTTGATAACTTTTTAATGATAAAGTCACTGTAGGACCTGAGATATTGACGTTTTAAATATTGAAGGTTGTGATAAAATAAATTAAGGGAAAATTAAAGGGTCTTGAAAAAAAGAGTGACGATTGTTTAAGTTCATTAATTCGTTTCTTCTTCTTTTTTTTAATTCTAGTCTTTGATATGTAGATGTAAAGGTGTATAGGTGGCACTAACAGAGGACAGCTTCAAGCAACTTAGCATTTATCATAATAAAAAGGGGCCAGCTTGATTGTTCAAATCTATGAAAATTCTTTCTCTCTCATACGTTTTACTGTACTTAAAAATTTCTAGTTTTCGTCTGTTTTAATTGACTCATTTATTATTGAAAATTTTCAACGTCATACCAGTTAGGTAAATACATAATTATATGAATGCTTTGAGTATAGCATAGACATCGAGACTGGGCGAAGGGCCAGGGGAGGGGATGGGGGTTAAGCCCCCACTTATTTTGGAAAGATATATACATCGTATAAGCATTGAAAATGCAGCGTACATGTATCCTTTATAGGTTTATTGCTCCCCTCCCCCGTTTGTTACCGACACCTGTGTATTGGAAAGATAAAGATTTGGACTGAGGGATCTTATACCCGTCTTCTCCTCTTTTCGAGGAGTAAATCAATTCATTTTTGAGGTTAGGGTTAGGCTTGACTAAAATATGATTTTTTTTTCAAAGTGCGTTAAGTGTCTCCATGGTAAATATATTGATGTAGACTCTTAACGCACTTTGAAAAATTTTTTCAAAGTGCGTTGAGTTGGTCCCAAATTTAACGCTCTTTGAAAAATGTTTTCAAAGTGCGTTGATATTGTCCCAATTTTAACGCACTTTGAAATAATTTTTCAAAGTGCGTAATTTTTTCAAAGTGCGTTGCCACAAGGCACGTAGGGAGTATACTGACTTTAGCAATAGATAGTATGCGTTGATCAAATACTGTGTATATTAAAATTTAGTTTTAATATTTTTTTACACCAAAATCTTTCGTAAGATGGATAAAAAAATCTAAAGGACTGTGTGGAATCTATCAAGGCAAATGATAATTACGAGCAGATTAAAAAAAACAACAAAAACAAACAAATGTCTTCATTGAATGATTAACCTTGTCTTTAAATGGAATTTAAAGCAAAAGTTACACATGCTGCAACCTAAACCTAGAATTTATGGAGTATTTCGTCTGCTTTTAGATTGAATTGGTAGGAACTTTGTAACATTGCCAAAGATGGCCACCAGTACAACTAGAGCACAAGACGTTATCCTGTGTCACCTCTGTCACAGGAGACCCGCCCTTCTTCACTGTAATCCCTGTCAGGTCAACTTATGTGAAGAATGCGTCGGAAAACACTATATGACGTCATCGTCCTCCAATCACGAAATTGTCAAATACCGAGAGAGAAAATTCCATCTTTCATTTCCAAACTGCAAAGCTCATAGTTGCGAAAAGTGTACTGTTAAGTGCCAGAACTGTGATGTAGAAGTTTGCCTCAAATGCCTCAGCGGAGCCCATAATGGGCATAAAATTATTGAAATCAAGGACATTGTTGATGAAAAGAAAAAGCTGGTGGAGAAAGACTCAGCTTATCTAAAGGAAGATATCATTCCAAAATTTGAAAAAGCAGATACAGAATTAGAATCGAAAATTGCGGCTTTAAATGCTAAATGTGACGAATTAGAACAGTCAGTCACAAAGCATGGGCTAAAATGGCAGCGATGCATTGAAGAAATCGTAGCGAAAAACAAGAGAGATATTGCAGAAATGAGAGGAAATGGCATAAAGAAATTAAAAGAATACCAAAAAGAAATCAAAAATAATCTTGCAAGACTGAATAAAATTGCTCTGGAGAACAAAAAGATTTCTCAGTCCATGGACGTTAGTGACATCACAAGATATGAAAGCCATATTCAGAAGTATCTTAATATCTCCTTACAAATAGATCTGGAACTACCAGCTTTTGCTTCCAAGGACATAGATAAAGGTAAACTTTACCAAGATTTTGGGAAAGTAAAGGAACCTAAGATCCAAACAGAACCGATCAACAGATTAGATGTATCCAGTGCGCTTCTAGACAAAGCCATAAAAATCGCATCCTTCCACACTGGAATAACACCGTTGAATAGGATTGCATGTGTAAATACAGAGGAGGTGTGGGTAACGGGGAAGAATCTTAAAACCATCACTCGTATTAACGTACAAGGTTCTGTACAGGAAACCATAACTTCTACTTGTCGAAATCATCCTACTGATATTTCAGTTTCAAATGAAGGACATCTACTGTACACAGACTTTGAAAATCAAATAATTAATGATGTCCACGAGACAACAGCACAGATTACAACACCACGATTATGGAAACCAGTAGGACTGTGTTGCACAGAATCAGGTGACGTACTGGTCAGTATGTGTACATTTAATGAAGAACATTATAAAATTGTCCGTTATGAAGGTCAAACAATAAAGCAGGAGATAGAAAAGGACGACCAAGGTAAACCACTATATAGGGGAGGAAAAAAGATGCTGTTTGTAACAGAAAACAACAACGGGGATATTTGTGCATCTGATTGTAATGCTAAAGATATCGTTGTGGTGAACAAGGCTGGAAAACTCCGTTTCCGATATAAAGGACAACAAACGATGAAAAAACAGTTTTATCCTATCGCTATTAAAACAAACTCCGCTGATCGTATAATAGTAGAGGATGGCGGGAATTGCTGTACTCACATCATTAATCAGGACGGTCAGTTTCTCTGTAGTCTGGATTTCTGTGGAAAAATGAGTGTGGACACAATAGGGCGATTGTGGGTGGGGGAGTATGAGAGTGGAATTGTGAAGATCATAAAATACACAAAATAAAGGGGCTGATTTCATTAATACAATCTGCGATGAAATGTTTTAAAAATATTTACTTTTTTTTAGATAATGGAAATGTTTTAGTGTGGTGTTTCATTAATTGTCATAATGTAGAAAAAATGTGATAAATGGGACCTTAAATTAAATTACTCAAGATGTAACAACATGGAGAGATTTTAATATTCTAGGATTAAGTCAATGTTTTAGTTATTGATTTGAAAATCACGAAAACTAGACAATTTTAAAAGTATGTTTATAAAAAATCAAAGTACTGAAAGTACTGATAGGCGGAAGCATGATTGCAAGTTCTCGTGTGCAAAACTTTGATGACACATATTTGAAGCATAATCCGTTTTAAAGGGGGGGGGGGTGTGATAAATATTTTGATTGATTGTAGTATTGAAACCAGGGAACAAGAATAAACAATATGTCTCCCTTTTGAAGCGGAGACATGAGAATGAGTGACGTCAATAGCAATATGAACATTTTAACATTATTTTACCCCCCGCTTGAAAAGTGGGAGTGTATACTATAATCGGTATGTCCGTCTGTCTGTATGTCCGTCCGTCTGTTACGCTTTGGGATACCCATCTCTTATCCGCAACTCCTCTTATACCACTGAGTAAAATTTAATGAAACTTTCACAGAATCTTTATTACATATTGCCATTGTGCACCTCCTATTTTACTTTTTGATCCGACATATATTTGGATTTCCCGGCCACAGCAAAACATGAACTTTTCCATTATAATCATATGGGAGGCGGGGGTATCATTTAGTGAGTTCATTGCTCACAGTACCTCTAGTTTTTGTCAAGTATAACAAGTCAAAATTGAAATGCAAGTTACAATGCATAAAATTTGTAAGATATGGTAATGGGGAACAAGAAATGGATGATTATAAAATTTCACACAAAAATGAGCACTAATGAGTAATAGAAAACAATAAATATCACAACTGTTTTTTGGTTTTTTATGTGTATTAAGTTTTATTTCCAATGAAACAAAGTCTTGTTATATAGCAGCTAATTAAATAAGGATGCAACATACATAGAAGACCTTACATAGATTTACAATGTGCTTGTGGTTCTATGAATTGTTTTCATTCAATACATGTATGGCCCAGGTAGAACAAATCACACAAGTCTATAATGCTGATGACAGGTGAACCCTGTGTAATGATGTCCACAATAAATGGAATTTTTTTTCAGGAGAGCTTCTACCATGGCAAGTCCTTGAATGCAAGACAATTTTATTTTTATTCCAGTGGTAAATTTGTCTATGATGATTGTAAAATATTGGTACATACATCCCAATATAAGTGGTGATTTTTTTTCTGGAGATTATCTACACCATTCCCCTCACAACTTTCTCTTGGGAGAATTTTCTTCAAAGTGTATAATTGAAAAAAAAATTAGAAATATCTCGTAATGTTTATTTAACAAAAATTATTTTACAATGTATCCGACTTTCAATAAATGAAATCAAGGACCTCAAATAACCTTTTATGATATATTTTAATATAATTTTTAGGGAAGTCAACTTTACCGGGTACTCGATCCAACGTCCAAGTATCAAATACTAAAAATAGGTACTCGGTTACTCGGATGTATATTATTTCTTATTTCAAGAAACACATTTTTATCAAAACTTATCAATTATGACTAAAACATGCAAATGGTAATTAGCATGTCTTCATCTACACCTAGCTGTTCTTGCCTTGGTCTACATTCATTCATTCATTCAGTGAAATCTGACATGCACAGAAATTAATGCCACTATTCCCACTTCAAGAGTGAAGTGGGTATATAGAAATAACGAAAGATTCAAAACTGCTGAAAGTCAACTTGTGTAGTAACTGTAAATTTAGTGTACGTATACTGGAAACAACCAACGAATGTTATAATATAAGATTAGCGTTCCTGACCAACAATAAACGTCCCCTCTCTTTCACTAGATTTATAACCTACATGTGTACACAGCAGTTTGTCAAATACATCCAATTCAAACAACGTACCTTTTGTAATTTTGGATGTATATTGTGCATTTGTATTTTATTTGATAACTAATTTTAGTACCAAAAATTATTTCCAATGGAATTGATAATTATTTGTACATTTATTACAATGATAAACATGATAAAATCAGCTTTGTGGTTTAACAGAGTTTTATTTAACTAGGCTCGATCAAGATTAAACTTTTATCTACATTTTACCGTGTAACTGTGTATTCAACTGGGAAAAAGTCAGAGTAAGTGATTATTAAATATTGACCGATTTAACTTCCCTAATAATTTTTTGTATTTTTTGCTCTCTCTCAAAAGCCTACTATTATCAGTAATCATATATTTGCATGTATTTAAACAAAATGAAAAGAAAATACGTAAGTCAGCAAAAATAAGAAATGTCAAAATACACTTACAAAAATAGTATTCGGTTCATTTTTGCTATCAAAAATATGTATCATAACTTATGAAAATTTTTTCCACTAGAAATATAATAAATTGATGTACTCACCTTCAGAAAAGTGTTTCTGGTTGTGCTGAGTTAAGTTTTCTTCTGCCATTTAGAGGTGACACAGAGCAAATTTACAATGCAATCTTGATTTTGTCCCACTTTCTGTTAGCTGGCTCCGTAGGGACACATCTATACAAACTAAAATACAATGTAGTTCTTACGCTTGCGTCTAAATTTCTGTCCAAATTTTACAGTTTTGGCCCATCCTTCAACATACATGTATTTACATTAAATCATAATGAGAAAGGATATATAAATGTATACACAAACTCGGCATGATAATTCCTCAAATAATTTCTCCCAGACATGTAATCATGGTAATTATAGAGTACCAGGTCGTTCGATAAGACCCGACCATAACAGCTATCATATTACGATATCTAAAGCATGCCTGCATAGGGAGGCGAAATTTTCAAGTTAAAACAATAAAAGATAAGGGTGACAATAAAAGATAGGCTTATCAAACAGCGTGAGTTACCTTGCTTATTTTGAAGAGTAGGCCTGTCACTTCCATTCAACCATTGTAAATCATTTGTGCTCCACGTGGGTTTGTTGACAGTAATTTCACGCTGAATCGTCTTATGTTAGATTATTACGCGAAAGTAGTACATATATATAAATAAACAATTGATAAAAGGAGTTACATACCCCTCTTTTCTTCTATTTTATACAAGATTATTGAAAAGATTAGTTCCTCAGTAGCTATGTACCTGTCATTAATTCTTAAACATAATTACCTACTTGAACTATTTTCTCCCTCGTAGTATTTCTAAAGATCGCTTCAGGACCCCGTGCTTATCAAATGTTGAACCCGATTTGTTTATGTGTTGTCGTTCGTTCTTCTCTCAAACGTGAAACATATCAGGAGTACTAAAATAACTGTTCGTTTTTTTGTTAGGCTGTTATTTTTATTGGACTTTTTTACATTAATCAAAATAAATTGTTAAAATAAATTCGCCATAACACACGCTTTTTGATATGATAATAACGATAAAGATTGGGAAGAGGTTCGAATATGATTTAGCGAGTTGTATGCCCTTAGTTTAAGATACATCCGTTTGGAGTACCATGAAACGGGGCAAACATCTTGAGAGGTCGAAAGGTCAACAAAGCAAATGTAATAGGCGGCTTCCGCCTAAAATTAATTATGAGTACCTTTTTCATGTTCTGGTGAAGAAATCTAAAGAGATGAAGTTTGTGAAAACAAACTTAATTCACATTTTAAATTACTAAATAACAGTACGTATGTTCTATGGATATTGCTGACGGATGGACTATTTATACAGAATATTTGTAAAGTGCAACTTCGGATAAGTCATCCATGTTCTGTTACGATTGTAAATTTTAATATTTCATACACACGAAGAATTTCAGTCTATTTTATTAAACTTGCATTATTTAACCTAGAACCAATGTTAGGTCTTACATGAAGCACCATCCAAAAGAAACTGTAAATTTGATAGAAACTTCCAAAACAATGTTTCTCTTTGTCCATTTGTTCCTCCAACCACCTGCATCTGGTCATTGAAACATTACACTTTTAGCTACAACCAAAATATTCTTTTAACAATGAGATATTTCAAATGTACCTACCAGTATGTTTGGAATTTCAATTTTATGCATTAAATGATGTGATTAAAACAGATAAAGCTTGTCAACTAAATATCCTGCACATTAGCATTAGAATATGTCCAAAGTACATATATGACATAGAGAGAGAACCTGAAGGCTACAAAAGCAAAGAAAGCTATACATGTATTATAAATTGAACCCTGCCTTAATTATTATGTCTTTTCAACATATTTAAAAATATTTATAAATATTTATGTATTCAAACGGGAGCGTGAAGAGTTAGCGCAACTTGAAGCATTGTGTATTTACATTATTTTCTGATATGACTTCTACTATAATATATTTGCCGATCAACGATTATAATTGCATTTTCGTTTTTTCTTACTTCAATCACATACAGTGGAAATATTCGTACTCACCCAATGATAGTTCGTGAGAGCATGAACCTACTGCAAAGAATCTTATACCCCATTCATACGACATGATTTGCATACCTCAGTATATTTTACACATGAGTAAATTTACTCACATGTGCAATTTTTGTCGTATGAACTTATATACTCGTATGCAAATTCTGCACAGTTGAGTAAATTTACACCTGGTCAGGACTAGGTGCAAATTAACTTTTGCATACACTTTGTAGCAAATTATTAGTTCATGTGTGTAAATTCTGTTGTACGAACACGCAGCAAATTTACTTATGCATGCATTTTGTTTTGTTTATTTTATAAATTTCCATTTTAAGTGTTGTTTCGATTGTGTATGCATTGGCATGTAAAATAACAATCAGTATGTATACATGGTGGCTATTTTAACATTGATTGATTGTATATTGTTTAACGTTCCTCTCGAGAATTTTTCACTCATCACTTGCCGATGGAGAGCTGCAAATTGTGTCCTATACTCGGCACTCAGGGCCATTGAACAGGGAGGGACTCTTTTCCATGCCAGCACCTACTGCGACAAGGGAATTCAGTTTCATCCAAAGGATACGGTCTTCACGTCCAACAATGGGATTCGAACCGGCGACGTAAGGATCAACTTCTTCTTCGCGACTCTATAGCAGAC